GAAGAAGGGAGGAGGAGAGAGAGAGGGAGGGAAGCGGAGGGAGGGAAGGAAGGGGAGGGAGGGAGGGAGGGAGAGAAATAAGGGAGGACGGGAGAGAGGGAGGGGGGCGGGGAGAGCCAGCCGCGCACTCCAAGGACCACCTACTGGAAGGGGCTGGCATTGCAGATGGTGACGGCGGGGAAGTCCATGGTCTTGAAGCCGATGGAGAGGGACACGCTGACCTCCCAGCTCAGGTAGGTCCTGATGAAGACGCCCCACTGCCAGCAGACCAGGGAGGTGAAGAGCAGCGTGATCAGGAACCACATGGCCTTCTTCTTGGGCCCCTCGCAGATGATGCGCTTGGGGCCGTGGGTGTTGGTGTTGTTGCAGTACCACACCAGCAGCTCCTTGTATGTGTAGCCCGGGCCCTTCTGCAGCCGGTGCAGGCACTTCCGCAGGTACTTCTTCAGGTGCATCGCGGCGCCTGCGCGGACACCCCGACACCCAGCAACCAGATCCAGCTCGCGGCCCGCGGCCCAGGCGGCCCCGGCGGCCCCGTCCCCGTCCTGGGGCACCGGACACAGGCAGCCGGCGCCGCCCATCCCGCCCTCCCTACCCCGCTTGCTCTCTGCTCCTTTCCCTTCTTCCCTTCCCCTCCCCCCTCCCATCCCTCCCCCTTCCCCTTCTCTGCCCCTCCCCCTTCTCTCCCAACCCTCTTCCCCATCCCTCCCTCCCCTCCTTCCCTCCCTCCCCTCCTTCCCTCCCTCTCCCCTTCCCTCCCTCCCTTCCCTTCCTGCCATCTATCCTCCATGCATCCAACCAACCAAAAAGCATTTATTGAATGCCTACTGTGTGCCAGGCACTGAATTAGTCCCTCTGGACTCAATGATGGGCAAAACAAACAAGGTTTCTGCCCTCGGGGAATTTTTAGCCTAGTGGACAAGTTATTTAAACTCTAAACTCCTTAGGTACTCCATCTGTAAAACGGGGATAATTGTACCTCATTTACACAATTGCTGAGAGGGTGAAACTAGGTGATGCACAAAACGTGCTAAATACAGTGCCTTGCTCAGACTAAGTGCCCAATATGTCGGCTACTTTTACTTATGTTTTATTTTATTATTTTTATTTATTTATTTTTATTTATTTTATTTTATTTTATTTTATTTATTTGAGAGAGAGAATGAGATAGAGAGAGCATGAGAGGGGGGAGGGTCAGAGGGAGAAGCAGACTCCCTGCTGAGCAGGGAGCCCGATGCGGGACTCGATCCCGGGACTCCAGGATCATGACCTGAGCCGAAGGCAGTCGCTTAACCAACTGAGCCACTCAGGCGCCCTTACTTTATTTTTAATTAATTTATTTTTTAGAGAGAGAGCGAGCTTGGGTGAGTGGGGGCGGGAGGGGCAGAGGGAGAGGGAGAATCTCAAGCAGGTTTCACACCCAGTACGGAGCCCAGTACGTGAAGCTCGATCTCACAACCCTGAGATCATGACCGGAGCCGAAATCGGGAGTCCAACCCTTAATCGACGGAGCCACCCAGGTGCCCCATCAGCTACCTTCATTACAAGCTATTGGCAGGCAAGCTGGATGTTCTTCAAATAGTCCATCCAAAATGCGTAGTTATGAAACATGGCAGGAAGGGGTGGGACCGTGTGCTCTGAGGTCTCAGAGGCAGTAAAGGGTGGTGGTGAAGAGCCAGGACTCTGGAGCTGAAATGTCTGCTTTGAATCTCAGCCCCACCACTTTCTAGCTGTGTGACTTGGAGCCAGTCACTTTCCCCTGTGCCCCGGTGTCCTTGTCTGTAATGGGGATAATAATGCATCTCCCTCAGAGGTTGTTGTGAAGACCGAACGAAAATATGGAGCGTGTGGATGAATGCCTGGCACCCCCCACCCCCACCCCAGTTCTGAGAATCCCCGGAGCAGCTGAGTTAAAGAACACAGAGTTAACTTGGGGAAGGGGGGGGGGCACTCATGTGGAGGAGACGGCAGGAGCAGAGTCTCCGAGCGGGAGAAGGGAGTCTGGAGAGGTGAGCAGGACCTGGTGGGTTAGGATTTGGAGGCATGGAGGCGTGATGCCATCCAGTCCACCATCTGGAAAGACACGGGCTGGAATGGGGTGAGGGTGGGTGTCTGGACACATCGGGGGCTAGCTGTGGGTTGTCAAGGAATGTCTAATCCTTCTTTCTGAGACTCTGTTCCTCACCTGCATGAGGGGACAGGGTTCTTGTGAAGAGGAACCCAAAGACGTGTCACAGAGCCTGGCGCATGATGGCTTCTCAGGCAGTACCTGTTTCCTCCCTCCTTCTCCTGAGACAGAGAAGGAACCTGCTGCCGGAGCACCCCAGCTCTACCCTGGGAGACCGGGCCGGCCAAAGGCCACCTCCTTCTTGCAGCTGTCCTGACTGCCTGGCTGGAGGGACCCTCACCCTCCTCTCAGAGCCGCTCCCTTTCGGGGAGCACTGTGGTGGGCAGTGCAGGGCCTGCTGGTCCAGCATTCTTCACCCCCTCCCCCCTCTGACTCTGTGTCCTCAGGGAAACTGCCCCTCCCCCAGTCTCAGCTGGTGTGAGCTGTCAGGTTGGCTCTGCCCCTAGTCTGAGGGGTGCTCACATTAACCCCCGTGTGGATTGTTGAGACTCAATTCTATGACTTTGTGCTGGTCTAACTGAGGCAGAGACTCCTTTTTTAACAAAGACTACTAAGCCGGTGGTATTTGGTGCCACAAACAGGGAGACTGCCTGAGAATTAAAGCCAACACAGAGGAAAGCAGGGCCACAAGATGGGGAGAGTGATTTCTGACGACATTTGAACACCTGGATCCAGCACTCCTGAAGCCATTTATTCCTGGACTCAGCAGATACAAGAACCAATACACTTTCTTTCTTACTTATGCTGATGCGAATTGGGTATCTGTCATTTGCAGCCATTAGAATCTTAAAAAGAAAGAAATTCACCTCATTCTACCCCGTGTCATACCCACTTCTGCCTATGGCCTCTCATTCTGATGAGATCATAAGCCCTCTGAGAGCAGCAGCTCTGTATTCCTGACAAGCCCAGCACGGTGCCTGGAACTCCACAGAATAGCTAAATGGGTAATGCCAGACCTTCATATCTAAGCAGAGATCTTAAACTTGCTCAAGCATGTTCACTGCTGACCTAATTTTCTGACATGGTACTATCCCCCACCGTCCTGGCCAAAGCATTAAAGGCTTTCCCCTCCAATGCCTCTGCTCGCTGATGGAAATCAAGCGCCCTGTTCCTGCTCAGGCCATCATGGCTCTGAGATGGACGTCCACAGATTAACCCAACTCCCATCTTTCCCTAGACAGCCCATTCCCTGCTCTGGGAAAATAAAGTTACAGTGATCATAGTAATAACAGCACCAAGGGCACCATCAAAGCACTACGTGTTTACCACGATTGGGGCACTGCAAGGTGGTGCGTGTGTTATTTCATTCGTAGACATTATTATCCACTACTATAAACTTGGGAAGAACTGGGGCTTTGTCTGTCTTTATAGTCTAGCACCCCAAGGCCTAATAAGGGAGAAACACATGAGGCTCCAATAAACTGCCATGGAAGAACCAGACAAAGGGCCTCTCTGATGTCTCCCCTTTGCCATTCTCATTTAATCATTCTGGTTCAGCCAAGGAGAAAGTCGGCTTGGTACAGACAGGTCCTGAGCATCTATTTAACCCCTGCTTATCTCCCAGATTAACCATGAGGCCTCAGGCTCAGAACTTTACCAGGCAACAGTATCTAGTTGGAATTCACATCATTCTGTTTTCACTGGGTTTCTTTTTTTGTAAAGATTTTATTTATTTATTTGAGAGGAGAGAGAGCGAGCATGAGTGGGCGGAGGGAGGGGCAGAGGGAGAAGCAGACTCCCCGCTGAGCAGGGAGCCCGATGTGGGACTTGATCCCAGGACCCCGGGATCATTACCCGAGCCGAGGGCAGGTGTTTAACCCACTGAGCCACCCAGTCACCCTCACTGGGTTTCTTTTTAAGAGGGATCTCCTATTCATGGCAAGAGATACTGGCCTTTGCTTTCCGTTCACAAATACACTTAAGTAAAAAAAAATGGGAAATGTGCTTAAAGAAAAATATCCAGTGAACAAGTCTGCCACGCAGCAAACACCGTGACAGACGCAGATGAGTAACAGAAGTTGGTGGAGTACCGGCTTATCTCCTACCTCGTTCGGTCCCTTGAGCCATTAACCAAGTACAAATCAATCAGTGCTACAAACAACTTTATGTTGTTCCCATCAGATTTCACCGCCCAGGTGATAGATGGTCTATTTGGAATGTATACACAGCTTGTGTAGAAAGGTTTAACTCTGCTTAAGGCTTAAACCAACCCAAACAAGCCAAGGGGAGATTGGGTCCACTCATGGACTCGGGAACATTGGTCATGCTTCGGAGAGTCCCCGACTGCGTCAACACCTTGGCCCGCACTGGTGGTAAACGTTCCTGGCCTCAAATACAACAGTGAAGGTTGTGTACAGCTGATTCTGCTTTTTTATAAGAGGAAACACACACTTGCTTTCAGAGACAAGTTTGTCCTGAGATTTGACTCAGTCTCTTGGTGGGAGGACAACTGGGAGCACATGTCTTTACCTATTATCTTGACAAGGGGACACGTAAATGCTCTTCCTATGGTCCGTCCTTCCAAACCTTCTGAATGAGAGGTTGCAGCTCGTGCCCTAGGAGCTGCCTTGGGTTTGCAAAAATGGTTTTGTTGTGGGCACAGTATTCATTTTTAGAATTCTCATGTAAAAATAACAGCTTTATGGAGCTATAATTCATGTACCAGATAACTCATGCATTTAAAGTGTAGAATTCGGTGGATTTTAGTATATTCGCAGAATTACTCCACCATCCCAATAAATTTTAAAGCATTTTCCTCTCCCCCCAGAGAAACTCTGTATCCATTAGGGTCACTCCTCATTTCTCCCTCCACCATTCCCAGCCCCAGGATCTGTCTCTATAGATTCGCCTCTTCTGGACCTTTCATATAAATGGACCCATACCTAATGTGTTTTTTTTTGTGACTGGTCTTTTTCACTTAGCATTATGTCTGCCTCTTCTGGACCTTTCATATAAATGGAACCATACCTAATGCATTTTTTTTTGTGACTGGTCTTTTTCACTTAGCATTATGTCTTTCTTAAAAGACATCCAGGTTCGTCCATCTTGTAGCATGGATCAGTACCTCATTTCTTTTTATTGTCAAATAATGTTCCATATTATGGGACATATCACATTTTATTTATCCATTCATCAGTTGATGACATTGGTATTGCTTTAACTTTTTGGCTAGTTTGAGTAGTACTGCTATAAACAATCCCATGCAAGTCTTTGTGTGGACATACGTTTTCATTTCTCTTGGGTATATACCTAGGAGTGGATATACCTACTGAATCGTACGGTAATTCTATGTTTAACCTTTTGAAGAACTGACAGACTGTTTTCCAAAGTGGCTACCCTATTTTCAAAATCCACTAGCAGCATATGAGGATTCCAGTTCCTCTTCCAATG